AAATAGAGGCCCCCTCGAAATAGAGTCGTTGGCTCTCTGCCCTCAACTTGCCTTGCTGACCGGACGCAGGCCCCCAGCGTCCGATCACGGATCTTCGTCCACGTGTACCCCGGATTCAACGTCAGCCGCCTGATCCCAACAGTCGATTCTCAGCACCCTCATGGTCAAGTGATGACCATTTGAATTTGCACACAAGATCCTAAAATGCCAACATGGGATCGGACGGACTTGCGAAGAAATTCCTGTGCAGAGCGCCATGAGGCCCCACTACCCATTGTTAAAACATTTAACACGACGGGAGGATACACACAAGCGCGAATAACATCAACCGCTAGTGCCAGCGCATCGAGGGGTGTGTTTCGAGCTCCCCCGTGAGCACCTAAACGCCGACTTGACGCGTCCGATCATGCATGACAGAACACACGACCGAGTCCGGTCCTCACTGCCTCAGCTGCTAGCCCTACGTCAGCGTACGTCATCTGTGACCGGACATAGGCCCTGCACGTCCGGCCACATTCATTATTTGTCGAGTGGTGAACGTGCAGTCCGACATCCCGAACGCACCTCCTTCGTTTACAATTGATCGGACGCTTGGAACCAATCCAGTCCCCCTTGTCAACTTATACTTTAACTTTAAAGTTGACGTTCAATCCCTTTCACTTTTATTTGTTCCATCAGATTAAAACACCTCCTTTACTTCACCAACTTCTCCACCCTTGCTTAAATGTGCCTCAACTACCAAGTGTATCACCTTGTGCACGTGTGTTAGCATGTTTTCACAAACATTTTTAAGGGTGTTAGCTCTCCACTAGATCCTTAATGCATATGCAATGAGTTAGAGCAACTAGTGGCATTTTGATAACTGCATTTCGATACGAGTTTCACCCCTCTTAACAGTACGGCCATCAATCCTAAATGTGATCACACTCGTTAAGTGTCTCGATCACCAAACCAAAAATCTCCTATAAAATTCACCTTTGCCTTGAGCTTTTTGTTTTTCTCTTTCTTCTTTTCCAAATCCAAGCACTTGATCATTATGGCCACCACACCATCATCATGATCTTCACCATTGCTTCACCACTTGAAATGTGCTACCTATCTCATTGATCACTTAGATAAACTAGGTTAGCACATAGGGTTTCATCAATTCACCAAAACCAAACTAGAGCTTTCACACTTTCACCATTTCTATGCCCAAATACAAGATCGGTCTGCAGTTACTTCAAATGTTTATTTCTTATCTTTCAAAGTAAAAGAAGACAAATCTAAAAAAGTCTAGAACTTTATATGGTGAATGCTCTCATCTGTTAGTGGTAAACTTCAAAATCTGAACATATATACAATTGCAATAAACTTCAAAAGTTGGGGGTTTCTCATTTTTCCTCAAATAGGTGGATTTTCATGCTCGAGTTGAATCTGCCCAAACCACTTGGTGGGAATGATTCTCAGATGTTCTTACACACTTTGATCCAACCCAAAAGACCCTAAGAGATCAGATTCAAGGAAACCACCAAAAACAAGAGAAGGGGAATACCGGGAGAGGAAGAACATCAAAATGAAATCAAAACAAAATTAACTCAGATCTTGAAGACACGAGGACAAAAGGAGGTAAGGGCCTCCATTCCCATGAATTTGAGAGTCTTACAAGATCTGGTTACACAGACTGCAATGCTAGTTCATGTGTGGACCTTTACAGCAGGCTAAGGGGAGGGAAAACCTAACAAAGATGAAAAATGAAATGCTGGAGAGGTGAGGCTGATTGGGGCAGCCCTCCTCTTATTTATAGAGGCTATTACACATTCCAATATACCTCTAGGTAATTAGAGCGAACCATCTAACCCAAAGGGTATTATGGTCCAACTTGAAATATGTTGATCCGACGGTCACGCGTCCTTTTCCTTCAAAAAATAGTCACGTGTCCTTCGTGACTTAAGTTCACCTTGATGCAAGCTTCATGATGACGCCATGTGTCGCCCCCAATTCCCATCGGAACTGCACTCGGGTTTTGAGGCTCAAACCCGAAAACCGTCCACCGATGATTTTGAGGGCCAAATCACCAAACCGCCCAGACAATCGTATCCGCTACGCCTCCTCTGCTCTCCGACATGTGTCACCGTCGTCCTCGACCGCCCGGCTGCCAAGCCTTGAAAGGCTCCGCTTGACTTGCTCGACCGTCGTCTTGACTTGGTCAATACGGTCACGCCCGTGTACTCTTGTACTTGTTGATGACCCTAGGTGTCAGACACCCACGGTCGGTCACCCAGCTTCTCCGGTCCCTCAGTCCATGCCCCGGCATCCGTTCTTCACCGCTCCCAGTCCATCGGCATGGACCCGCTTGACCTTCACCTTCGTCGTCGACCACCGTCTCTGAGCTCCACACCCGCACCACAAGCAAAGAGGCATGTTGCATACCCCAAACTCACACCTCCATAGTTCATGAACTCAACTCAAAGCGCTACTCATTGATAATCATTCATCACACATCGAACCACATAGGTACATATCGACATGTGTTCGCAGTTTTGGTTGTTGTGGTGAGCTCATTAGATCGTCCCATGCTGGTTGCTTAGGCCAACCAGTCAGAGTCGTTGATAGCGAGGTTAATAATATTTTTACTTCTATTTAATATAATCAACAGCTATTCTGGCTGATTTCATTAAAAAAGAGATGCGGGAACTGCTTATAAGGCCTCTCCGGTAGTATATCAACGGGTGATTGATAGTGAGGTCTGGAACAATTATGACCGATGACTTGTTACTTGCTGCAGAAACTATTTGTTTTTGTTGATGGCTAATTGCCCTACTTGCCACATGTCAATTTAATGAAATTCACATCTGAGATACGGAAACCGTGGGCGCTAGGAAAGCCAAACTGAAGGCTCGACTCTGACTTTTGAATGCAGCCAGGGACGATTGATTCAACTTTGCCTTTGTTTTTGAAATCTACTCTACCCAATTGGCTCTTGTCTTCCCTGAATACGGATCAGCTTCTTTTTGTTTCTTCTATTGAGGAGTATAAATCGCCAGGACGAGAGGGAGATTGTAGGTGGATTGCAGTAGTAGGAACAAGAGTGTCCTAATTTCAGATTCCTCGCAGTGTTCATTTGAATTTGCACACAAGATCCTGAAAATGCCAAAGACGGTAATTGGGCACGGGCAGACTTGTCAAAGAAGAAATTCCCAGGTAGACAGACGGATGAGCGTATCCACTAGCCATCACCCTCGTATGATCTGATACCCAAAATACACAGCAAGACGACGTCAACTCCAGTGGCTACATCCAAGTATGGGCCAAACAAGTCGCCACACACTTGGTACTGAACAAGAAAAGAATCAAGCACGCACGCCACAGCGGCATCATAACAGCACCATTCCAATCCAAGTAAAGAATGAAAACCAAACAACTCGGTGGTCCTTGCTCTCTTCCTATAGTGAGATCATAATCCTTGGAATGGAAGAAGGAAAACAATGGCATTCTCGCCAGATCAACCATGGGGGTTTTTTTTTTGGAATGAAGATCAATCATGGAGTTGTAGCTTGAGATAGATCGACCAGTCACATGAAACCGGAGGTTATCGTTGCCGTCATAAACCATGCAAATTAAAGCAGCAACCAAATATATATAACCAGACACCAAACTGCAGGGCAGAATTGACGCGCACAAACAAAGCCGCGCGCCCGCGCACATCCAGAGATTCTCAGCTCGCGGGCGGAGGGGGAGATGTGCGCTGCGCATGCAACGCACGGAACCAAACGACTCGAAAGATTGCTCAGCCTGACAGCCTCTGCCTCATCCACTCCACGAAGGAAAGATTGTTCGTCGACCGACGAATACAGGGCCGCTGGAAGCATCGCATCGCATCGCACCAGACGAACTCACTTGCTCATCGACTCCACGAAAAGAAGATGATTGTTCATCGACCGACAAAGGGGCACTCACTGGTGCAGGAGACATCTCGCATCCCTCAGACCCTCACCAGACGAACAAGTACACGGTACACCGCAATCAAAAAACAAAAAAAGTACACGGTACACCTTTGTAGGAGTAGGCTGTAGTCCTGTAGAGCGGGTACAGCATTTCTGCTTGTTTCTCGCTGCCTGCCTGCCAGCCAATACCGTAGAGTAGCGCGCACGAAGTCGTCACAAGCATAACGCCACGACACGAGCACGAGCACCATTTCCGCCTGCTAGTGCTAGCGGCCGGTCATGATGCATGGAAGATGGCGGACGGGACGACTCATCGCTCATCGCAGCTGGCTGGCCGGCCGGGGAGGTGGCTGGCACTGGCATGGGTCCGGTCCGTCCTCCCGTTTTGCTCGGAGCACAGCGCGAGGATTGAAGAAAGGTGCGCGAGGTGCGGCCTGTGCAGGGTCACATGCGCCGGCAAAGCAGGCGGGCGCGGGCCTCTCCTTTCCCTTCCCGTCTCTCTCTTGCACATGCGTCTGCCTGCAACACCACATGGCCTGCCGTGCGTGAGAGTGCTGTTATTATCGCACTTTAATCAGGGCCAGCCACATGCAGGTAGCCCACACGGCCGGGCTTCTCCCCCTAATCATCATCACCCTTCTCCTCTCCTCATCCATCCCTATCTGCGCGGGCTAGCTTGTTGAGAGGAGAGCACACAGCAGGCCAAAGGCGTGCAGCTGCAAAGCAAGCTAGCACGCCACGTGCACGGTGCACACACCTACCGCCTCACGAACAATGACTGCACTGCATATATTCAAGGTGATGTAGTGGTGGGACTCACGTCACGTGGTACTTAAGGCAATGGGGGCAGGCAAATCACAGCAAGCAAGCTCATTAATTGGCTAATTAGGGAGTGCCGTAATTAATCTACACAAGCACACACTCGATCATCACACACACTTGCAAACCAGCACTCCGTTTTGTATACTACTACCGCTACTACTAGAGGCTCTCTCTCTTTTCTCGTCTTAGTTGCCCTCGTCAGACAATATAAAGTTTCTTCATCCTTGTGTTTCGCTCGGTGGTCAGTTCGAATCAGTTAACGCGTGCGGCGGCGGCGGCGGAGCAGACGCGGTGGCGCGGGCACGAGACGAGGTGGTCATTGGTGAGCCCGACCGCCTGCATAAAGGAGTGGATGACAGTGGGGCCGACGAAGCGGAAGCCGCGCCGGACCATGTCCTTGCTGATGGACTCCGACTTGGACGTCTTCACCGGGATCTTCCGGCTGTACTTGTAGCTCGGCGACAGCGGCTTGTTGTTCACGAACGCCCACACGTACTTGTCCAGTGAGCCAAAGTCCCTCCGCACCTGCAATGCAACGGATCGAACAACACCGTCAGATTAATTAGATATTCTTCAGCATATATACGCCTTCAGTTGCTAACTGGTTTCATTTCATAATTCATATATACGCCTTCATTCATTGACCGCCTCGCTTTAATCTTTCGGTTAAGCTTCGGTTGCGAGATGGTACTAGAACTACAACTACTATCTCAACAGATGGGGACCAACCGATGGAAAACAACTACCAACTCGTACCAAAAACAACAGTGGCTTCTGATAGTGTTATTAAAGGCTCATTTTCAGAGCATTCTAAAACTTTTCCGTCCGCAGTTAGCTACGATTATATATACGCAGCAAAAGAGCTACTCCTTTCCTTTCCAATTGAAGTGAAAACATGTCTAGTGACAGTCTCGCTCGATTGAGGTCAAGCTCAGGGTACCTCGAGAATCCGGCAGGCGTTGTTGACGGTTCCTCTGACGGTGCCCAAATCCAGGCCGTAGTCGGCGCTCAGCGACGCCATCTGCTTCTCGGTGTACTTGGAGACCGCGTCCACGTTGAAGCCGGAGAATGCCTCCCTGTTTGTGACCAGACATTCAGGCAAATACAGACCGAAATCAGCACAAATTTAGCGGCAGCGCAGTAACAACAGCTAGTCAGCTACTACTACGACAGTAGGGGGCTTGCTCTGTTCCCCACCTGTAGACGTGTCTTTTCTTGAGGATGGAAGTCCAGTCGGCCCCGACTTGCACGCCAGACAGTGTGAGCATCTCGAATAGCAACCTGTCATTTCAGCGCCACCAAATACATGTGAGGACAACTGTTGCCGTGAGCTAGCATCAGCAGCTTGTGTGTTTGCAAGGATCAGGGAATGAATGGCGGCTTGCTTACTCGTCGTCGTGCACGGGCACTCCCCACTCCTCGTCGTGGTACGCGACATACAGAGGGTCTGCACGCCGCAAAGACACAGCAGAATAGTAGCTCACGTTAGCGCTCAGCACAATGGTGTCAAGCAGCAAGTAGCATACAGCTTTGTGTCTTGTGCTTTGCGTACCTGAGTAGGGCGTGATGAAGCTGCAGCGCTTCTCGTCGTGGCCGGTGGGTGAGGCGGGGACGGCCGGCTCGGCAGCGGCCGCGGCCGTGGCGGTGGCGGTGGCGCCGACTCGGCTCTCCACCCGGGAGAAGGACGCGGTGCGGCCGTAGTGCGCGATCCGCAGCTTGCGCTGCGCCTGCGCCTGCGCGGCGTGCTCCCGCTGCGCCGCGGCGATGCTCCCGGCTGCGGCTGGCTCGAACGCCTCCAGCGCCGCGAACGTCACCACCGGCAGCACGGCGCCGGGCTTCCTGCTGGCCTTGGTGGACCTGCTGGTCTTCTCAGCGGCCACGGCGGCGCCCACCGCCCTCGCCGCCGCCCTCGCGGTGACCGAGGCCGGCGTCGAAGGAGGCAGCAGAGAAGCCGCCGCCGCGGGGCGGGCGGCCGCAGTGGCATTGTTGTTGTTGTCGTAGGAAGCCGGCATAGAGAGCGACTTCTGCAGGGACTTCTTGAGCGGGCGGGCGGCGTCCGCCGGCGCCGCCACGCGGTTGCCCGCCGGCTGCAGCACCGGGCGGCCGTCGATCTGGGCCACGCCCGCGGACTTGACGTTGGAGTTGCACATCCTGCCTGGACGCGGACGGGCAAGTTGTCTTCCTTCCTTCTTCTTGGTTGGCTCCGGCGGTTGGTTGGTTGGCTCTTGGCTGGCTGGTTCTCAAGTGGTCCTGCTGCAGGTGCTGCGAGCTGTGAGTCCGTCTGATGAAACGAGGTGGGAGGCGAGGCGGTTATATAGCCGAGGCGATGACGCGAGCGCGCGCGAGGAGGCCGGGAAAGGAAGAGGAAGGTGGTGGGGCCGGTAGGTAGGGACAGGTGGCGTCACAACTCACAGGTGAGGAGGCCGCGTATGCGTGCACTCGTGACTCGCCATTGGAGGGAGGTTCCGACTTGGGAGCCGAGCTCAGCTCCTGCAGCGACTGTATCTTTCCCGTTGGATCGAACGGGCGAGGGTCGCTGGTTGGTCGGTAGGGAGAGGAGGGAGGGACGCTCGGCTGGGCTGTCAATCAAAGCCGTGGCCTGGCCGGGAACGTCAATGGGGCAGTAGAAAACGCAGCGCACGTACCAACGGACAGACAGCGAGTGCCGCCGAGTGAAACGCTGCTGGTCCTGGTCCCTTCAAAGTGGGCAACACGAGGAAAAAAAAGGCCCATTGGTGAACAGTCCAAGCCCATGTACAGCGACTTTGCTGGTGGTAAAGACACTTATCGCGAGGAACAGTGAGTGATACGTAGTAGAACTTTCAATACCACCTAGCGTCCGTGCGTTCTGTTCTGTCAGTCGAAAATTGAGGTAACGGGACGGGACAAAGTCGTGCGCGATATGGTAGAAGGTGCTTTTCGGTGGTTAGTGTGCGTGCTCACACTCACAATTCTAGCTTTGCCTCAGAATGTGGATGTACATGTGCCATACTCTAAAGAAACAGCGAAGAGAAAACTGATTCCCGACCGACCAAATAAAACAGAAGCAAGTTCGCTCAACCTCAGACTGCCGACCATTCCAAGAGATACCTTAACTGCCCCTTTTTTAAAAAAAAAATAAAGGTATTGCTCCACTGCTTAACGTACGGTATGGTGTGGAGAACCAACTTGAATGAATGGAAGCCAACATATATATAGTAGAAAAAAATTGTAATCTCGGCTGCTAGCTAATCGAGTCCAAACCACTCCAACTTGTTGGTTGAGCCTACCGTACATGGGCATGGCATGCATTTGATTTGATTTTTGACTGCACTCTGACAACGGACGCCCTCGACCGGATCGAGTAGTCCGTACCTGGCTCACATGTCACATGGCCAAGCGCGTACGCGTACGGTGTACCCCGCCGTGACATGACAATAAGAGATGTCCTTCCTGTAGCAGTATTCACGAGCGGGGTCGCGGTCGCGGTTGGATCCAGGAAGCATCCGTATCCTACTGGGAATGGCTCGTGCATGCTATACGTATGATTGCGGCGGTGGTCGGCCTGCGGCAGGTCCGACAAGGCAGCCATAGCCGTGGCACGCACCTGGCTGTGTAGAGTGGAGGAGAAGAAAGGGATGGCGGCCGGCGGCCGGCGAGGCAGGACAGGCCCGGCGGCCCCTGCCCACCACGTTCTCTCCGCCCCGCCGGCCCCTCTTTCGAGCTGGCAAGGAATCTTGTGCTCATTCCCTCCGCCCCGGCCCTGCGCTCCCGTGCTCTTTCCAGCCCGTTTCCGTCAAGCTACTCGATCATCATCGCGCGTTAATGCACGGTTCCCGTCGCATAATGGAAGCAGTGTCCTGTATTAATGGACTACTCGCCGTTGCGTTGCTTGCAACTCGTGTTCGCCTGCTCCACTCCCAGCTTGTTTTAACTTATTCTCTCACATAACATAATACTATTGAATCAGCCGAAATCATATCGTCGTCGAGCGCCGTGGCGAGGCGCGCGAGCTGAGGGGGCGAGGGGCATTACGCGCTGCTCTGGGTTGGAGTGGACACGGCACGGCTAGGCAGGCAACCGACGCATCGGCCCGGAATCCGCTTTGCACTAGTTTACTTCCGCGCGTGTAGTGTAGGATGGCCAGCGATTGATCGCGGGGGATCGCCGTGCTTGTCATGATACGACGCGCACATGCGTGGGTTCCGCCGGATGAAGCCCGTGTCGCCGTCGTCGGCTACCGCATCCATCGCTCGTGTTCGTGTCGCGGGGATATCGTACGGGCTGTGTATTATTAATTGCGGTGGTTTTGGGCTTCCGCGGGGTGAACTTGAGCGATGCGCCAAATCTGTAATCTATTCGTTTGATCGTATCATGTATGATATAGCGTTTTTTTCTCACAACAAAACAGCATCAGTCGGTTTATAAGCCACGAAACAACGGACAGGGCGCTGGTAGTTGGAACGAAGTTCTTTTTGCGGATGCGGTTCTGGTTCTTCGTGCTGTCCGATCTCCGGTTGCTGCGGATACGTTATTGAGTTCTCAGTTCTGCCATGCCTGCCAATAGGATATGTTGTTACTGTGGCAGCGCGATTCGGTTCTCTGAATTGGCACCTCCAACAGCAACCGGATAAACAAGGCCATGTTCTCGGCAGTCAGGTGCTGTCACTGTTAGGAAAAAAAAAGCAGGAACCGTTAATGCGCGATGTGTGTGATCTGCAGAGGCACCGTTGATGGATCGATCGATCTCGGGTATCGGAGAGGTGCCCAGATGGAGATGGAGGGTATCCAAATCCAAATCCAATGGAACAGGGGGTGCATGCAATGCATGAACTGATGGACATGAACCTTATGGGACGACAGGGTCGCCATGCGCTGCTTTGCCCTACCACAGTAAGGGCAGGTATCTGATGGAATGGAAGCTGCTGTGTATGTGTACCGTGTATAATATCCATATCCATGAATCCATCGCTGCGATGGGCGGCCGGCCCTAGCTCCCCCGTGTCTGTACATGGGTTGCATGAACCTGATCCGACCTGAATGCAGGTGCCATCGCCCCCGATGGCGAGGTTCGGACCGCCGACGAGTCCCTACAGATTAAGCTATGATGAGAAATCCATTCATGCTGCTTGTATGATTTATTTAAACTTTGAAGCCCACCCAGTGGTTCCTTGGCCACTTGCCAGGAATATGGAGAGGATCATGCATGCATACATGAACATGACTGCCCCGGGGGCGCGGGGAACTGTGCAACAGTGCAAGCGCCCATGTACCGCCAGGCTAGCAGAAGAATACCGATATCGTCAGTGCACCGGTCGGTTTCAGAGGCACTGTTCCATGCCCTCTTTCGATGGGGTTCGATCTGGACTGACAGATGATGAAACTTGGGAGTTGGAAGCCTGTTAAAGTCAAACTGCTGCTCCGTTTCATGCTAGTGCTTCTGTCGTTCTGTGCAGTGGAACGGATCTCCAGCACACGACTTTGGTCAAACACAAGTTCTGAATGCCTGCACTGGTCATGAAGTATTGTCAGAGTTACCAGGCATGCATGCATGAGCACTTCCATACTGTATGTGGCATGTAAACACAGCATGGGCAAGCGCAACCACACGGCACTTGGCAATGGCAAATGTCCAGTACTACACTACAGTCGTACACGAGCTTTGCAACCACCGAATCGCACGGGTCCACGAGCGCAGGGAACACAGGCACACGAGGGACCGATTGGCCTTTACCAATCATTTCGTCAGTATTGGATGCACAATTGCACAAAGCGGCAACAATCATGCATGGCCGGGGGCTGGCCGCACTGCAACGAGCCAACAGCAGCGGCTATGAACAAGAGCTTTGCATTGGCGTCGCTACTCCTCCGTGTCCGTGCACGGCTGGGCCTGGGGCTCGCCGCATGCATCGGAATCGGATCGGAGTAACATCCATCCATGCCTATGCATCTCTACGTTCGTCCTGCGCTGCACTAAAAACCGCCGGTTGCACCCCGTCAGCAGATCCAGAAGAAACACCGGCACGATCGTTTTCTTTCGGGGGCGGGTATCCGGGTACAGGCACGAGGAGGGGTGGCGCGCGCTGCGCGCATAAATCCCCGCAACCAACTGGATTCGGCCGAGCCGGGGCGGGGCGACGGAGGTGACCGCACCCGCACCGCACCGCACCGCACCGGTGGGGTGGGAGACATGGCATGTGCAGCCGCCCCGGCACGTCCATTATTTGGATGCCAATCTCGCAGGAAAGGGAGGAAAGCGCTGGGAGCCCACGGGGCTCGGGGGCAGGGGCGGGGACGCGCCCACTGCCGATGGAGCTATCTGCCGCGTGAAAGAGCCGTGGGGGCCGGGCGGTCGCGGCCAGGCACATGACATGAGGCGTCCCGCCGGCCCGGGCTGGGGTTGGGCGTGTGCGCCGGCCGGTCGATCGCTTGCGCTGCTGGCTGGATGTTGGGTTGGAGAGGGTGATGCGGCGTCAATTTGGGCAGAGGTTGGGACGGATGGGCCGTCCGGCCGGCGTGCCACGCGGGGGGGATGGACCGATGGGTGCCAGGTTGGTGGATCGCACAGCCCCTTGAATAGCGGCGGCTGGTGCAGGGAGCTGGGGCGACGGCGAGGCAGCAGCGTTCTGTACCTAGTCTGGTCCATGTCTGGAGCTTCATATGGTAGATGAAATGATTCGGTTTTGCACTTTGGATTCACCGCAATACTATGTCACTGCGGAGATTGGACAGGCTGAGCATGCAACCGTTGTGTTTGGTTGTTTTATTTCATCAGAGCCTACCTTACTGCAGTAGTCCGTATTTGTTTGGATGCATGAGCTATATGAGTCAGAGGTTAAAAGCAATAGACGAGCGTCCATTTTTTATTTAACTGGTGCATGGTGCAACAGAGAAGCCATATAAGTAGGTGAAATATTCAGATAATCAGATCTCAAGTAAGTTCCAGTGAGGAGCAAATGAACAAGACAGCCTGGAATGTACGTTTGAACCTGTCTGCCCTGATCAATCCGTCCAGGTGAACAAAGTGCAGTAGAAATTGCGATATCCGCAAAAGCAGTTTGCACCGTGAATCTAGGACATCGTGTTCAGTGTGGAACAAACATATGGCAGAATAAATGAATAATTGCTAAACCTTGTTCAATTATTAGCATGCTGGGCCAAACTCAATTTGCTTCGTGTTGTTACAGGCTTCAGGTACAACCACATAGCAGACTTCCCACTTCCCTACAAGATCAATTCAGAAAATTGTACTAGCCGTGTATCAACCACGAGTTCACGACATATAGGAAGGTCAAACCAAAAAAATAAGTTGGTGATAAATGTTGCAGAAACACATGAAGACTTCTTCAGTTCATCCTTCGGTTGCAATATGAGGTAGCAAGGGCCCCCAGTTTCTGAACAGCAACCAACGCTTAATGGTTTCGTCATCCCATATTAAACTGTCCCACCATAGCTGTTCTCCGATAGTAGTTACAAATGGGCTGTTTTCATTCATGCCAACTGGGATTTTCCGCAGTTTTGCACAGCCTCTCACCTTGAGGTTCTTCAGAGATGGCAAGACTCCACTACAGACAGAGGTTAGCTCAGGAAGCTCCCACAGCTGCAGCGACTGCAACCTAGGGAGAGTGTCCTCTCCCAAGGCCGAGCTGTCAAACGCCCTCTCCAAAATGTCACAAAACCTTATATTCAATGTTTCAAGGTTTGGAAAGTGTAGTACCGAAGGAAGGAGGCATATGAGATTTGGACAGCAGTCGAAGAGCAAGTGCTTCAGACAACTGAAACTGGTCACATCTTCCACTCCTTTGCAGAAGGATGACAATTTTTCCATTTTGGAGATCCATAAACTGTGCAAGTTGCCCACCTCAGACAATGCCTGGACTACCTCTGCTGTCAGAAAACTCTCTAGGTGTTCACAATTTTCCACCCAGAGTTCTCTTACCGCTTCCATACTACTAATATTCAGATCAGAAAGTTGGGTGGCCATTGCTAATCTCTGTAATGATATCAGCTCAGCATGACCGAGAATACCATCAAGATCAGATGGAACACCAATAGTACCATTTATTTCCAGGTATCTAATGGGCTCGATGGAATGTGCAAAGCGCTTTGTCCTGAAAGTATGAATTCTGAATGATGGAATCTGTCTTCTTTGCTTCAACATCAGTGTCCATGGTTTGGTTATCCATCGAACAGGAGATGACAATCTGAAACTTCTGAAAACAGTTAAACCACAGCGGAGAGTCCTTTTTCAAGCAATTAAAGAAATAGGCATCACTGGCATAAACATATGTATTACCACCCATGTTAGCATCAAATGATACTTCTAAGCCATGCTTATCAGACAAATTGAAAAGTCAGTCCACATGGTAACCACAACATGCTCATCCAATCTGCTAGATCTTCAACATCACCAAGCCGCAGATTCTGTACAGCACCATTTTTGACACACCATAAGGTAGCTCAGACCGTAGAAATGGGCACCCCTGTAGATTTAGGTGGCGAAGCTCCATAGATACTGGAATTGAGGTCAAGAAAGTGATGGAAGTTGCAGAAAGGTCAAGGACCTTGAGCAAAACCATATGATCAAATGACCCAGAGCCTATACTCTTCAGGGAACCACAACCTGAAGCATCCAGTACCTCCAGCCGCACCAATGGAGTTATGTGTCGAATTTCCTTTAAATAATCACACCCAGTCAGCAATAACATTCTTAGCCTAGTCAAACAAGAGATGGAACGCGGCAGCACTTGGATTAGTGTAAATGATAGGTCCAGTATCTCTAGTTGTCCCATGTGGCAAAAGAATTCTTCCGACATAGCTTTTAAAAGATAGTTTCCTCTTAAATGTAATGATGAAATAAATGAGCAACACGGGCTTCCATAAAGGCATTCCATTTCAGTATCCATTAACAAAACTCTTCTGCTATACTTGGCAAGATGCTCTAATCTGATACTAATAGGATTGTTAACATGCCAGTCATGCTGCTCTTTGTAACCATTATCCTTTCCATATCTTGAGACAGTCTCCCTGACCACATCATGCATGCGTATATGACCATTATCGTCCAAATATACCATACCATGCTTTATGAGGACATCAAGAATTTCCTTCCCAATATGGTTAGCCTCATCAAAACCAATATTTTTCTGGAGTAGACCATCCATTATCCAGTACCAGATTAACTCTTTGACTGCAATCCCTTGATGTTCTGGGAAGAGTAGGCAGTACAGCAAGCAGTGTCGCACGTTATCGCTAGGAAGCTGATGGTATCCAAATTTCACCATGCGCTCCAAGGTGTTGAATACTGATATCTGGGCTCCTAGAGCGACATGCGCTTTTGTGACCAACTCACTAAATGCCTCTTGTGTAGGTGCATCACACAGAACCCCAGCCAATAAGACGATTGTGAGTGGCATGCCAAAACAGTAGCTGATTAAGTCATGTGCAAAACAGATATCTTTTCCGATCTTCTCACGCAGCAGGTCGTATGACTCTTCATAAGTGAGAGGTTGTGGCATTAAAACTATATCTGGCTCCATGATTGACTCTCCCTTTTAGTTCTTGTAGTCACAAAGATTTTTGAGCCAAGACTTTGCTGTTGAGGACGAGGAACTCCCAGGCACTCTAAGATACTTTCTTCAGTGAAATAAGAATTATCAAGAACAAGAAGGAATTTCCGTTTTGTGAGATATTCCTTGATTATGGCCTTAGTTCTTTCTATGGACAAGTTACCTCCTTTGTTACATGAAAGAGACGCTGCAATCTTGTTGATACAGTGTCCCATGCTAGAATTCATTGACAATGGAACCCAGACATACTCTTGAAAGAGATTCGAAGTCCTTGCTGCCCGGTATGCAGCCTTTGCAGCCCATGTCTTTCCAGAGCCACCAATACCTTGGATGACAATTACTCCAACATCTGGACGAACAAGCAGCCCGAGCATATCTTGGAATGAAATTGACTGACCTCCTGGAGGATTTATAATTTGCACGCTTGGAAATCGGATTGTCCGCCTTCGCCTCCAAAAGCAACAATAGGACGCCATTATGCTGCTTATCCTGTTTTTTTCAGCTGTGAGTATTTCCTGAGTTAGTCTGGTCATGCCTCCAAGTGCCAATTCGTGCACTTGCATGAAGGACAAATACAAGTATAATAGAATCACACACACCCTCCTGATATTTGTTACAGAAACTTGTTGGCATGGGCGTATGGCATTTTTTCCATTTAGATAAGTATCTTTTTTTGAGGAAAAGATAAGTATCTTTTGCATGATGCATGTCTAATTTTAGGGGATAAAAGTAATGTGGTAAATTCCTATAGAGAGCACAGTATATTAACACGGCACAATTCAGAAACCAAAGTTCAGAAAAAGAGAAAGCACTCACCAGCTGTCCCGTGCGGCCCAAAGATGTTGGAGATGAGCACTCGCAGGTCGCAGCGAGGCCGGCTTCAGCGATTTCAGTGGCCCTGTGCCCTAGGCTATGCCGGCAGGCAGCAGCCGTGGAATGGGAGAGATGCAGGAATTGACGAAGGCGAGCAACGAGCAATGTCCAACGTCGAACCCGTCAAAATCTGGTGAGGCGTGGGAGCTCGCCTGTCGCCTGGAGAAACGCGGACGCGGTTTGTGAAGGACACTGAAGGGGAGACCTTGACTTAGTAGGAGTAAGCGTAGACGAGACGGTCGTATCGACAATTCGAGACCCTGCCACTGACACGCGGGTGCTAACACCCTGCTTGTGAATTGTGATGAGGTATAGATAGTTGGGTAGAAAATCTGGTGGCTGGTGCAGAGATGCCCGCCTCGCCAATCCGTCAAACACCTTGCCCGCACTGCCGCACCGGCGAGTTGCCCCTCGGAGTCTCGGACTCAAGAGTCTTCGGCAATGGAGGAGCCACTCTGTCCTCCTTCGACTACCCCAGCAAGCTTCCACGTCGCACCAGGACCAGTGGGACCACTGGCACGCGGGATTCCCGGTGTTCGTTCAGACTTCAGAGAGAGATGCCCGCCGAGTCAACCAGTCAAATTCTCTAGTCGTCGAGGGCTCGAGGCGAGGCGTCGTCTCGCAGTGGTAGTCCTGGCAGTACCGCGGTTGTCTAGCAGTGGTAGTCATTCGATTCGACGCGTTGTCTAGGCACACCCTGGTAGTAGTTGTAGCCAAGCGGCTCCACTTCTCGCTATGTCACCCTCCACTCGTGACTCGTGAGGGTCACTGCATCAGTCAGTTGTGCGCCGTGTCTCTTCAACTGCTCCGGCGGCTTTGTCACCGGCAAAGTCACCGATCTTGGTTCATGGCTGTGATTTTCCATCAATGAGGTCAAGGTCAATAGGTAGAGTAGGAATTCTTTGTGGGCCATGGTAGCCTATTCCGGCCCAACCCAAGTGGAAAATCTCTTTTTTCCCCTTCTGCTCTGTGTGCCGAGTCGGAGCTGCGCTTCTGCTCACAGCGGAGAAAGTCCGGGGTCCGAGAGGGCTCACGCAGTCACGCATGTCGTCGCCGTGCTAGAGCGTGCGCCCGTGGGCTGCTATCGCCGTTGGCAAAGCAGATCGATCGTGTCGGCCATTCAGCACCGGCGTCCCCTACGGCCGTACCACCACCACAGCAACCGCTCCAACCTCAACTACCCCGGGCGCACCGAGCCTTACTGAGCCCGTCTCGTATAGTCGTATCTCCGATCTCCATCACCAACTAGCTGTCGAAGAGCGCCTTCAGGGGGCCTTGGTGTTGCGGGTGCGAGGCCCAGCGCGAAGAAGGGCCGCTCCGCGCCTGTGATGCTCATGCTCGGTCCTGGCGGCTGGCGAAGAGGACTAGATAGAGGAGGTTGAAGCCTGTAAACCGCTGTCTGCGGCAAACCAGTCCTGTGGAGTCCTTTGGTGAGTTCGGTCTTTCCTGCTCTCTCTGCCTCTGTGGGGTCGTTCCGGAGTTCTTTTCCTTATCCGAAGAGACGAGAGAAATTCCCGTTTCATGATAGTGAGCAGGAGCGTCATATTTTCGTGCAGAAAAACAAGGATTACTGCAGTATATAGCCCCAGACACTCTTCAAGTAATCCAATCTAGTCTCAAATAGTGCAATAGTTTACAATCACCACTGACTCTTCCACATCAATTTTGCAGTTTACAGAGATATATTGTTAGGCGTATGTATTGTATTGGTATCATGAGTTTTGTATATTTATATCGTGGTACTTTGATCGACTTGCTGATGTGAATTTTGCCTCGACAGATTGGCCAATTTGCAAATTAAACTGTGAATAAATATTTTATTGTGCTGAAATTTTGGGAAAAGTAGTGGAATTGCCTTCACAATTGTGTGGCTAGGTCCAACTGTAATATGCACGATTAATTTGAAATATAGCTATATCTGTTATGCAATACATTTCTGATACAGTTTCTAAATCTAGTTACCGAAATAAGCATTCTAGGATGACACGTAGTTTGATGATTGATGTTGTCTAGAATTCTAAATCCGAATTTGTACTGAATGATTGAACTACATTGTTCAATTTAGATCCACAACTAGAACTACACATGTATTCTTTTCAGTAATCATCGTAGTAATTTCTAGCCCCACGCGGTGAACTTACACTTTCTCAAAACCTGAGACGAAATTTTGCTAAATTTGCATTCCATTTTAATAGAGTTCACAACACTGGCCCCTGTGCAAAAACACCAGGGCTTCTGCTTCGTGTCTTTGTGGGAAAACCCCAGGCTGTGCTGTTTTTGTGCATGACAGATCACTTTCTCATGGGTACACAAACTAACAGTAATCAAGATAAACTCGTTTGTAAGAACAACGTATTCATAAAACGACCCAACCTCTACTCTGATTTTTAACAGTCACATTCTCTTAACTGTGACAACTGCCTGCTCTGCAGTTGGCTTGCTCTTGCAACACCTTGTGCTCAAATTTGGCATGTTTGTGTACATGGGTAGACAACTGCTGAATTTGCATGTTTGTATGCTCCCTGAGACTTTGGTTGCCTCATTAATAGTTGGATGGCATAATGCAAATAATCTAGTATTTGCTTTACAGCTGCCAATATGTGAAGCTTCCAATTGGTGCTTAGCCAGGGCTAATGAACTCTCTGTCTTAGTCGGCACTACAAGGAGTAATCAGTTACTTCTCCACCCGGCCATGCGGGCTACATTTTTTATTATTATTATTTTTATTTTTGAGGGAGTGGTCTGCCTGGTTGGGCTTATGCGGTACAGCTCGCACATGTAACCTTGATCTCCTTAATATATGCCGGTCAGAATCCAGATATTTCAAAAAAAAAAACAGCTGCCAATAAATTATTTTGATCTAGTGCGACTCCTTCAAGTGATAATAGAATTGGTGCACAATGGATCACTGCTAAGTTAATGTCTCTACTCTGGTCTATAAACTCCCTCTGTAAGTAACTAGGCCCATTGGATTTAATAAACACCGCCATCTCTTATATTATTTGCTAAAATAACACAATAATACACCACGGAAGTTTGATTCAAGTGTATACGATAACAAGGTTGCAGAAAAAAGGGATGCAGCTATATTCAGAACATGCATTGAAAAAGAGAATTTTCTACATATATGTTGAAGCCAACACATCAGTCTTTCATTTTCAGTGTCTTCCTTGCAGGTGATTGCTAAAACCACCATGTCGCAGGAGCGGACATTGGATGAAGTCGTTTCTCCATTTCTAATGCAATTGGAAAGGGCAAGAGTTGTTCCTTTGGGTCCAGATGAGGATAGTTCACATTCAGATATTGTACTTCTTTTTGAAAATATCAAGAAAGAAGCCTGTGAAGTCAAGGATATACTCCTGAGAGTGTCTAAATGGGAAAATGAGATAATAAATGATTTTGGAGGAATAGCTCGACATTTGGATGAAATCATAGAAGAAGGCAACCAGCTCAATTCAATACGTTCCACACTTCAAATTGTAAACACTGAGATGTCCAAGTTAAAAGATCGTATGCAACTTCCTCTCCATGTTCCCATGATTAAGCCAATAGCTCCCACAACCTTGCCATCATCTGTACCATCCAAATGGGTTCGTGCAAAAGTTTCGGAGCAGTGGAAAAGACTAGAGATTGAGAGGAAAATCCTTGAGAGCTCAACCATGTCTAACTTGCAGGTTAGCTATGATAATCTTGATCTGCAGCTGAAGTTGTGCTTGTTATGCTTCTCTGTCTTCCCAGAAAATTCCATCATCAGCAAGAGGGCCATGATTCATTGGTGGATTGGTGAGGGGTTAGTAGCAGCCACAAGAAGTCAAACAGCCGAAGATGTTGGAAATGCATGCTTTGAGAAGCTGATTGCTCTAGAAATGATTGAACCGGTGTATCAGAAATGTAGGTATCGGGTCAACCAATGCAAGTTACACCCTTGGATTCGGCGTATGTTGATTAAAGTTGCGAAGCAAGCACGGTTTTTTGAATTCGATTCAGATGGCAATGCAACATGGGACTGTTCAGCTACACACCGTGCCTGTCTAGTTGAAGAGCACCAACAGGAAATTGATGTGGCATCACTCAGAAACCTTCTAACAATATTTAATGTGAATGAGCAATACCTACAATTTGATGAGTGTTGGTTCTTGGATTTGAGGAAGATTGCAGTTCTCCAACTAGGAAGGTGGCACAACTTACGTCGACACCATATTGAGGTTGACAGTACTGATTTTTTGGAAGGACTGCAGTTATCCAATCAATTGAAATATCTTTGTCTGAGGGGCATCTCTAGAATCATTGAACTTCCTGCTTCCATTGGTGGACTCTCAAATCTCAGGATCTTGGACCTTCATGCCTGTCATAACCTTGAGAGACTGAGTGCTAGCATCACGTCTCTTCAAATGCTCACCCACCTTGATGTGTCAGAATGTTACTTGCTGGAAGGCATGCCAAGGGGTATTGGCTTGCTTACTGAACTCCAAGTGCTGAAAGGGTTTGTCATTGGTGGTTCAACTGGCAATTACAATTGTCGGGTAGCAGAGTTGGCTAGGCTGGACAAATTGAAGAAGCTGACCATATATATTGGAAGCAAAGTAACAGTGACAGAAGATGAACTGAATGAACTTGAGAACATCAAAGGCCTTTGCGTGCTGAAAATTACATGGGCTGTATCACTTTCAAAGAAAGAACGAGTCCATCAAACTTCTGATTCTACACCATTGCTAACTTCACTCTCCCTACCTCTAAATCTCGAAAAGCTAGACCTGCGCTGCTTCCCTGGAGAAAAGATACCAGAATGGTTAAGTCCGAGTAAGCTGTTGAGACTGAAGAGGCTCTACTTCACTGGAGGAATGCTAAGAACTTTTGGCAACAAAAACATGTCAGAGGTGTGGAACATTGAGGTTTTGCGCCTGAAATTCTTGAATGATTTATCAGTACAATGGACCCAGGTGCATGACATATTTCCAAAACTGACCTTTCTAGAGGTCTTCAGATGTAGGAAGCTAGAATCCTTCCCTTGCGATAAGGATGGGGTGTGGATGAACCATGATATGAAGGATATCAGAAAGTAGAAGGCAGGAATGAATCAATTGAGCTTTCATTATTACTTTTGCTGTGTCACTAGCTTTGTCTCATCGTCAGCAACAACACGTGGACGACAACTGGATCCTGGATGTGCACCATAGATGATGTACATCATGACTGTCATTTGTCGACCTTGACTCCATGCCTCACAGTCATATCGAAATTGGAGTTATTTTGAGAGCTGCCACTTGGTGGTGCAATGTTCGGCGATTAACGACATGTTTTCATCATGGGAGTTTATGCTAAAGCCTGTGTTTTGCTATTCCACGTCATGTATCTTGTTTGTGGTTGTTTTTCCTCATGTTGTGTTGCTTTGTTGGTGTTTCTGTTTCGCCCCTGCTATGTACCTCCGGGGCTTGCTCCGATAATGTAACATTCCATTCCTAGCTTGCTGGTATGTGTGGAAATAGATTCAGGTGGTTCTCCGTTTTGACTCGTCAAAAGAATCCATTAAAAATAATGCAGCCCAAGCAATAATCAGGGCAATATTACAGAACTGAGAAATTTGAGCGAGTCTTAGGGCCTGTTTGGTACAGCTCAACTTCACTGGCGAATCGGCTTTCGTTGGCTTTGGTTTCAAAAACAGCTTTATCGTTAGAGTTGAATCTATTTTCATAAACATATGGTAAACAACTTGTTAGGGGAGATAGCAGAGAGAAAGTTAGAAGAAGATAGTATTTTTAGCTTCACCTAGAGAATCGTGCACGTGAGATGAACTAAAAAAACAACTTCTAGAGAAAGTTGTTGCATCCAGACCTGTTTGGTAGGAGAAGTTGAAAACAGCTTTGTGAAGTTGAGGTAGAAGCTTTATCAAACACACCCATAGGAATCAGTTCAATTTCACGTGAAAAACGTAGGAACAGATAATTTTTCCCGCAATTCAAACATGCGAGGATTCTTGAAGTCACTATTCACTATTACCCGATAAGCTACAAATGGATGTACCACACACTGACACATACGTGTTGCCTATTTCAGACTTCCGCTGTTACCTAGCAGTGACCAGTGATGATATGGTCACTCTTGCCGAGTTCCTGGCTAGTAGATGTCGATGCAGGTGGCGAAACGCTGCTGGTTGCGAAGATGTCTCCCATTGTCTTGGCTGCCGATGGAAGCCCGCCACAGGTCTCAAGGATCTCCTGCTTAAAATTGTTAACAGTGGCAAGATCGAGCGTCATTTTCTCCTGGGACTGGGAAAGAGCATCCGTGAAAATTGCCCAGCAGCTCTCGCTGTCGGCCAATGGCCGCACACGGGACAAG